GAAGCAGAGACTGAGACCGAGTTTGGGGTGCAAGATATTTATTAGTGATAAATACCTGTGAAAAGAAGAGGGAGGCAACAGGATTGCATACAGGAAGTCAAACTGCGCTGCAGGGCTGGCAAAAGCATCCACCAACCTGGAGGGGCTCTGGGGTGAGTATGGGGTAATGGGGGCGGTGCAAGTATTATCTGCCAGTGTCTGTCTCGCACTGAACTGAAATGGCCAGGCAGTTTTACCTGATCCCACTCACACACCAAATACAGGCTGCCCTTGGTGAAGTGACTCTCTGCAGCTCGAGGAGACCCTAAAAGAGCTGACAGCTGGAGGCTCTCCACTGACCATACTTCCCAGTCAGAGAAGTCCTTCCTTGAAGGATGTTGTGGGTGACACATCTCTATGTCTTCCATACCTCAAGTCTTAGAGGATTTTTTTTTTTTTTTTGCCCTCTTGCTTCCAATCAGAGAGGCTAAGCAAAAGCAGTCACTGTAATTCCTGTACCCCATCTCCACCCCTACCATAGGCCACATTTCTGTAGGTGCCCAGCCCCCCAAAACCTGTAGTCCCTTTTTACAGTGTCTAGGGATATTCCAGTCCCCAAATATCCTCACTGAATGAGGTCTGCATGCTCAGCCCTGGTTCTTATTGGGAAACATGTTTTTGTCCAATCTTTTAAGTTCACTGCATCTGGAGAGGAAGAATTAGAGGGAGGGGTGTTAAGAGTAACAAGAGTTTTGTTGCTTTTCTTTACTCATTCAGTAAACCTACAGTTCAAGCCAATTATATGCCAGGCACTGAGACTAACACCACTACTCCAGGCTCCTGAGCTGACAGCCAAATACCATCTGCAGATTCAAACAGGGTGGGAGTGGCAGCACTCTGAAGTTAACACTTCTCCAGGAAACAGAACCAAGATTTGGAGCCCTGTCTCTGACCTTGGTTGCTTGCAAACCCTCCTGCAAGTTGCTTCACCACTTTGACCCTATTTCCTCCTCTGGACAAGGGAGTAATACAATGTTAAACAGTTCTCACCTCAAACTTCATTTTATTCTGTGAAGCAGGTACCATTATCATCTCCACGTTACACATAAAGAAGAGTCAGGGTGTAGTGAACTTGTTGAGTCACATAGGTGCTTGGCAGTGGAGCTGGGCTTTGAGCCCAGACAATGTGGCCCAACCCTGCTTCTTAATCCTCATTAAGATCAGGGTCAAATAGCCCCCTCGGACCAGGTGTGCCTGCACACTTTACAATTGGTCCACAGGGTTTAAAAATATTTGTCAGCTTTCATTTTGAAATTGAGATGTTCATAGAAACATCAAGATGTCCACCTTCTCTTGAAAAATCTAGTCTCCCGGCCACCGTGGACTGCGTTCCTCCAGTCACAAATGGCAAGAGGTAAGCAGTTGCCCTTCTTGAAAGTGGGTCATGAAGCCGGTGTCCACCCAGACTCTCTCCTTCATGTATGTTACCTGCCTGGCCCCTGCAGGAATGAGTTTGTCATCCTTAATGAAGACCGGAGAGTCCTGAGATAGGAGAAGACAGAGGCCTGAAGGGACTGGGTACCTTGGCCTGAGACCCCCAACTCTTCCTGCATGGTACTAGATCAACAGACTTGAATCTAACAAACAGGGGAGGGTTGAGGAAAGGCACAGACATGTAGAGCCACAGGGCGAGGTCGGGGCAAATACACTTTATTCAGTCCTGGCATCAGACTGGCGGGAAGTCCTGCTGTGGGTGCCAGTGCCCCAGATGGGAGGGATCCCTCCCCTCAGCTACAAGACTAGTTCTCCAAGACCACAGACAGTGACATCTCTTCACTCACATGACGTTTTCTGGTTTTTTTCATTGTCTTTGTTTTTTGTTGTTGTTTTTCTTAAAAAAGAGAGAAAGAAAGAAAAAGAGAAAGAAAGAGCGCGCGAGAAAGGCCCAGAGCCGGAGCACCAAGCTTAAAGGAGGCAGCTGGTGGCTTTGTCAGCGACGGGGGAACGCGTGGGGCAGAGACCTGCAGAGACCCTGGGCAGGGGTCCCGGAGGACTCTGGGACCGTTTGTTCCTGAGATTTGTGTGTGTGAATGAGTTTGTGTGTACACCTGGGAGGGTGAACACACGCCGGTGAGATACAGGTAGAGGGCAAGGGTTGGGGAGACCGGAGGGGCAGGACTTGAGTGGGGAGGAAGAGGAGTAACATCGGGGGGAGGGTCCGGAAGCCACCCCAAACTGGACACAACTTCGTCCTACAGCAGCAGCGCTAACCCCATTTTTCACATGGAAAAACCGAGATGCACAGGGCACACCTCCACTGCTCTGACCGTCCTTCAGTCTCACTGGTCCAGTCGATGGTCTCTCTCAAGCCAGCTGTTTAAAAGTGGGGCTCTTCTTGCCATTCCATCTGCTATCATGCCTCAGTCTCAACCACTTAGTAGCAACATGCCTCAGTTCCTCCCACTGAATACTGTCACTGTGGGAACAGAGGGACTTGGGTGATAGGAGGGGGCTGTGGGCTTCGGGAAGAGCCCAGGCTGGGAATATGCCCTGAGGTGACAGGACACTTCCTGGGGAGAGGGGGGAGCAGCGGGGACCCTGTCCCCAAACAGACTGGTATGTATCTTGGTTCTGAGTTTTCTTGGGCAGTCTTTCTCTCTCGTAGTGGATTTCCAGAGAAAAACACTACCCCTCCCCCCAATTCCCAGGTGGGGGAATGAAAGGTAGGTTTCTGGGGACCAAGAAAGGCTGTAGAGGCATTCAAGCAGTCGGTGTGGGGAGGTGTACATGGGTCTGAGCGACCCCGTGAAACGAAATGGGGCTATGCCACTTGGGAGAGTTCCAAGTTCCAAACCAACCCTTCTGGGCCAGCTAGTCCCTTTCTCCCCCTTTCGAGTGCTCCTCCCATTAAGGCTGTGACACCCCGTTGGGTAGAAAGGAAGCCGCGGCTCCCGGATCAAAAGATTTCTCAGGATCGCTCTATACCGGCCCGGTTTCTCGGTGGAGAGGGCTAGAGACGAGCGATTCCACTGGGACCAGCCCCCTCCTCCCAAGAACCATTAAGCATGCGCGAGAAGGGGGCGGATCCCAGCGCTCCCAGGGTAAAAGGAGCGCGCCCCTCCCCCGCCCTGGGAAGGGAGGGGGCATGGGAGGAGCGCGCGGGGCCGCCAGCTGCAGCGCCCCCTGAAACAAGGGAGGCGGAGTAGGCGAAGGCGGAGGGATTCGAGAGCAAGGGCGGGGGCGTGTCCTCCGGCCACGAGGAGGGGCATGTGCATAGTGGGGGAGGGGCACAGGTCTGTAGGGGAAGATGGGAGGTGTATCGGAGGGGGGCTGGCTGCTGGTGGCTGTGCAGGAGAGGGCAAGACGGGGAGGGGCTTGCATGTCAGGGAAAGGGTGGGGGTTGGGCTGCCTTTGGGGTGTGTCTGCGGGGGAGGGTCGTGACTGGATTCGAGGGGGATGGGCACGTCTGGGAGGGGGGAGGCTGCGCGGAAGATGGGGTGCCAGCCTCGGCCTCCGAGGGGCACCAATACCTGATTCCTGTATGTAAACAGCTGGTTTGGGGGCGTGCGCGCCCCGCTGACGGTGGGCTCAGTAGGTGAAAACCAGGTCGGCGATGCTAGATGGGCGCCAGTCCCCCGCGATCATCTCGGTAACCTCGGGGGTGCAGTAGTCCGGGAACTCGAAGTGCGACGTGCCCGAGGGAGGCGGCAGGTCCGGGTCGCGGTCCAGGGCGCTGCAGTCCAGGCCGGCGGGGCCGGGGGGCAGTCTGGACAGAAAGCCCAGCGGCTCCTCCCCCGACGCCACCGTCTCTTCTTCGCCTTCCTCCGCCGCCGCCGCCTCGTCCTCCTCTTCCTCAGGCTCTTCGTCCTCCGACGGAGTCGGGGAGGCGGTGGTGACAGCCGCTCCCTCGCCCGACGGCCCCTGGGCGCGTTCCGCTGGTCCCCGAGCCGCCCTTCCTGCGGGGACCATCCTCCACAGCTCCCGCCCGGGGGTCTCGACCAGGCGCACTTCCAGCAGCTCCTCGTCGTCGTCCTCGTCGTCGTCTTCGGGCGCCGCCGCGCCCCCTC